TTTTTTTTTTTTTTTTTTTTTTTTTTTTATTACCAGTCAAACTACACAAACTTATACTTAGCACGCGTTCTTAACCACCATGTTACTTTCATGTATACCAACTACACGATTTATCATATTTACGACACAATGTTAGATTCTCAATAATAAATGTATATCGATATAAAAAATGTAAAGCATTCATTTTATAAAATAAATATATTTCATAAAACAATATTTTTCATTATTTTTTATAATGTATTAAAATATTTTAATTATATCGAATGTATACAATATAATAATAAAACAAATCATGAACCAAAAAAACAATTTTTTGATAATTAATTTTTTACATACGACACAACACAAAATTTGCATATCGAGAAATATTAATTAAAATTATATAAATGATTATTTTAAAAATTGTTGGATATCTTTTTTTTTTAAATAAGATTTTATCATAAGATTTGCTAAAAGATAAATTTATTCATCAATATTAATATCAATTTTATTAGATAGAAAAATATTTTAAATCGATAATCGTTATATATACGTAAACATAATATCCGTTTAATAGAAATATATATTTAAAAATTAAAAAATTATACGTATTTACAAAATCACATATTTTTCTGCTTATAATATAATAACACTTATTCTATTCATAAAATGCAGAAAAATAAAATTAATAAGAAAGCAATTAATTATTCAAATATAACGAACAGATATAAAGAGAAATTTTTTATTATACAATTTGTTTCAATAACTTGAAAAACATATACAGTTATAGAAAATAAAATAATTTATATCATATTGCAATTATGAAAAAGTATGATAGTTATAGATTTTAATTATTTTAATTAAAAATTTTTGTTAAACATAATATATATTAACAAAATGGACAATATTTCACCAGTGAGAAACATTACCACATCTATAATGACTTAACTTCGCCAATTTATAGTCTTGATCTTTTTATATTATCGTGTCTGTTTAGCAATGTTCCGCAGCATAGTTTATATTAGGCTCCATTCAAAATAGTAGGAGCACTATGCTTATATTTGGTCAGAAATATTATTCTTGTTTTCTGCCATCAGCCTCATAGCTGCCTCTCTTCCCTGTGTTAAGAAGAAGGAAGAGGAGGAAAAGGATGGGTGGAAAGAGTTGATCCCTGGAAGACGCGCTACCTGCGTACATTAAATCCCCGTGTTCCATCCGGTCCAATAGGCATACGAAGAATGTTACTTGGTAATCCACTACTACTCGGAGTCGTCGATTTCGGTTGAATTTTATTTATTTCTTGCATTAACTTTTCCTCAGGACTTTTTTCTTCACCTAAAATTCTTTTTCTCGCTTCCGCATATTCTTGTTCCCTCTATAAATAATTTTAATTATAATTATATAATTTTTTTTTACACATATCATTTCAGAATATTAAAAATATACCTGTTTCAAAGATTTAATAGGATGTTTTGGCTTATCTCCATTCACTAATGGTCCATCACCACTACCTTGTGAATCTCTCGAAGGTCTTTTCAAAATTTTTACCGTCGGTTTTGGAGGTACATATTGAGATCTCATACCATCTTCCCCTAACATTATCATTCTGGTACTCGAATTGTGACTGGTTTTGAAGCTAAGGCATTATAATCATAAGATGTTACGGTTATAAAAAAAAAAAATGCGAAAAATATGTAGACATAATTCTTACAATAACACTTTTATACCATTAATATTTATTTATTTTTAATATTTAATATAAATTATAATCGTAAATTTCTTAAAATTGCGCTTTTTTAATATCTTTTTACAATATTAATATTTTCAGATTTATCTATAAAATTATATATCATATTAATATATTGGGTTGAGTAAAAAGTTTTTACTCTTTTTTTTTCTTTATTATTAGATATCATTATATTATTTATACAATTATTTATACAAAATGAATCGTTCAATCAATAATATTATTTTCTCATTCTTTTCCAACTCATCAGTATCTCAAATTTTTTATCTCTTTCTTTATTTAAACTTTATATTTTTTCATTTCAATGATTTTGCAAGCAATCAGAATAAAATAGATAATATTATTTTCAATGAATACGGAATACTTTTCATAATTTCCTATTTTATTTCATAAATAGCATATTTATATATATATATATATAGAATCTTAATAAAATACGATTCCTTTCCGACGTAATATATCATTTCCCGTAAATTTTATGAAATTATAATCTTTCGTTAGACATAAGATTTTCTTTTTCTCCGATTCGTTAATTATTTCAAGTTCATTATCTACATTTAATTAATATTTACTTAAGAAATGGTTTCCATTGTGCGTAGATTTCTCAACGAAGTTCTTTGTTATATATAATCCAATATATTCATATAACAAAAGATAAAGCTCACAATCATTGCAAAATAATAGAAGATTTCAACAATACATATTTGGAAAATATTGAAATTAAACTCTTTAATAATGATTTACAACATATTACCGACAAATCATTCTTTTTTGGTCTCTCAGAGTATGGTGGTCCATATATCAAAATCTCTTGATCGATATTTTTGAAAAAATTTTATTATTTTCAAATCTTAATAAGACATTCTCCATACATTTCACAAACATTCTTTACTGTTTGTAAGATTGTGATTGATTCTCTGAAACTTATAAAGGAATAAGAATCAAATATGCACTTTATTAATT